CACACACACACACACACACACACACACACACACACACACACACACACACTGCTGAACACTGCAGTCATCATGCATCTCTGTCCCTGACTGGAGCGAACTTTATGCGGAGATATGTGTGTGTTTCACATATGGTCGTCTCAGAGGTACGATCCAGCTGCGTTCTCTCTGAGGCACCTCATGGAGTTATTTATACAGATGATTAATGACACAAAGCCTGCGGTATAAATCACACACAGCCTACCTTACTGTGCCAGCTTTGTGCTAAAATATGGACTCCCCAGAGGAAGGGTAAAAGAGAGCGTTGCTGTTTTGTTTTCTTGGCATGAATGTTGTACAGCTTTAGTGATGTTGTGTAGTTGACGACATTAAATCGGGTGAAAAGTGCCTTCCTGTCATGTGACATGTCATCCTGCAAGAAAGCAACATCACACACTAGAGGTCTCATGGGGACAATGTATGATGTTTACTGTTACAAAATCTCCTCCCTTTTTTTTTATAATTTTCCTTCTACTCTTGTTTATTTATCTTTCTGCCTTTGTTTCCTTCTCTGTCCTTCTGGTCACATCAGCCACTGCATACAGCAGATCCTGGAGAGTGTCCATCACTGCCATGTCAACGGGATTGTTCACAGAGATTTGAAGGTTTGTACGATCACAGACACTGCTGAAACCCAGACCATAAGAAACTGATGAAATTATTCGAAAGCCCTACGTTCGTGCCACCTTCCAAAGTGATAGTTTGGGATTTTGTGGAGTTCTGCAGTGTAGTCAGCATCTTACATGCAGTGGACAGCAACCAGGGCCGTCTCATTTTAGAAAATCAGGAAGAAATTCTCCCAGAGGAGTCAAGCTAATGGCTAGTCAAATTGTTAGCTTGTATTTGCAGTTTTTAACAACCTAAAAAAAACTAAAACTCAAAAACTTCACAGCATTTCAAACAAATGCTGTGTTGTGGATTTTTTTTTTTACATTGCATTACTTTTCAATGGTGTGAAAGTCGGATGAAATGCACCGCGAGTGTTTAGACTGAAGCCACTTAAAAAAGCACTTATTGGAATTCATACCACATATGAATGTGAGCTAGGTCTGAGTAAAAAACAAAATTGAGACAAACATAAAACACGGATACGGTTTACAAATAAAAAAAAAGATTTGAGCCACTCTTGACAGCAGTGTTAATAATAATATCTGATTCTCAAAATTGAGGTCACTCTGACTGCTTTGTGGTGCATGTGAACTACTGACTACTAATAAGAACTCCACAGAATCACAACTATTTGCCACAATCTTGTTATTTGCAAACTTGCCCTTTTCAGACTTTCTATGTTCTCTTTGTCTTTGCTGTTATGCATTAAGTCATTGTTGTGTTAGATTGTCGAGATGTCAGTATTTGTGGCTCAGTGTTTTCCCTGGCAATGTCTTCTGATGTTGCACTGTGTGTGGTTGTGTTTGGGTAAATCTGTAATTGTGTAGCACAGACTGATAAGGAACAGAAGTAATTAAGGATCAGGTCCACAGATCAGTAAAAAAGGAGAAGGTGATATCGCTCCACTTTGCTGGATCGGTTGCTATTTATTGGAATGATGAGAAAATCTGTGTTTCATATTTTGAAGATTTATTTTTTTGTTGTTGTGTTGTAAAAAATTGTTGATGTGTTCCTGCTGTCAGTGAGTGTCTGTGCCCGTCGAGCTGTACATTTGCTTGCAGGCTGTCTGTGCTCAGAGTCTCTAAATGTTAGGAAATGTATTATTCATTAGAACACACTGCCTCTCTGGCCCTAGGTTAGCAAAGACCTTTCTGCAGCTGTGTGTCGGTGTGTGTGTGTGTGTGTGTGTGTGTTTGAGGAAATGTGTGTGTGTGTGCATGCTGTGGGCTCACTTATATCTTTGATTGTGTTAAACTGTATTTGTGTTCGGTGTTTATTTGTAGGTACGTATATTTGACTGTGAGTCACTCAAACCTCTTGTGACGCCCCACCGTCCCGTTTCTCCCCTCGGTGTGCACTTTGCTCCCACTCATGGATTTTAACACTACGTGTTTGTTGCTGCGGACAAGCATGTTACATCACTTCCTCCTAATCCATGAGGCTGAGAGAGCAAGTCCATAGTTTGACTGTTCAAAATGTCCGTGGTCACCTTGAGTTGGTCCCGTGCACATGTTTGTGTGTCTGTCATTCGTGTGGCAGGAAGGGCGTTGCCTCAGACACTGATTTAAGAGCAGTTTAGTGTCACTAAGACCTAATGGTTTGATTAGGGTTTGGTTTGGCTAATCTGATTTTAGATCTGTGTCTGTGGGCAGCATGGTCCCTGAGCGTGTGACCTCTCACCTCTAACCTGTTTGACTCCGCCCCCCCCAGCCTGAGAACCTTCTGTTGGCCAGTAAGCTGAAGGGGGCGGCGGTCAAGTTGGCTGACTTTGGGCTGGCCATCGAGGTACAGGGGGACCAACAGGCATGGTTTGGTGAGTATTCATCCAGCCGTTTCTTTAATCGTAACCAGTCAAGGAACCAATCTGTCAGTCATTACTATTTATTCTTGAAGAGAGAAAACTTTGCAGGTATATCTTGTCAACTCAGATAGTGAGTGAAAATTTATCAGCTTTATTTCTCTTTGTTCTGGCTGATAAAGAGACATTATTCCATTAAAATGTCAAATGTTATGGGAAAGTATCATAAGGACCCATTCATTAAAACTCAGTTCCATTAATATGTTAATCCAGTTTACTGTGAAAGTCTAGATGTTTAAACCAGCTGGTTGTGGTGGAGTTAATAATTGGTTACCAACCAGTTGCAGGGTGACTCAGTCCTCAGTCCATCTATATTCTGAAGCAGCAAAGACATTAAAATGACAATTCAGATTTTCTGAAATGAGCTTCTGTTGAAAGGCTATGAAAAACAATATCTTACCTGTTGTAGATAGTTTTTAACTAATCTCAGTTTAGAGTGAAAATGAAAATTGTCCAATTTGAGTTGGACCAAGACTAAAGTGGATTGCTGTTGTCTTAAAACAACTCCAATTGGGAAAATTTATAAAGTTTATAAACCTTTAAACCATTGTTGTGTTCATATTACATGGTTAACTTTTAAGATGAAGATGGGATGGCAACAGTCCTCTTTACACTTGGCCCGACATGAGCAAACTGTTACATTTTCGGTGTCAGTATAAAGGTTTTCTTTTAAAAAAAGTTATAAACACAAGGGGTTTCATGCATTTTTTTCTTAATTTGTTGTCAAGTTCAATTCAGGCTCAATTTTTCCCCGAACTAAAGGACCCATTCATGTAAACAGCCCCCTTTCACAACCAAGTCAAGCTCTTCCCGACAAAAAGCTTCTGTCAAATCCTAAATAAACCGTCCCCACCAGATGTCTCTTATCAGACTCTGTTTCTAAACTAAACAATTAGACAGATGACTTTCATTAAGTTTTCCACAACAGAGAGCCAAGATGCTGAATTTCCCAATCTTACCTACCGCTCCACATCTCCCCCTCTCTCCTTCTTACACCCCCAGGTTTTGCCGGGACCCCAGGCTACTTGTCTCCAGAGGTTCTGAGAAAAGATCCGTATGGGAAACCGGTTGACATGTGGGCCTGTGGTAAATACCCTTCATACTTAATCACTTTTTAAACAAATGTTTACATAACGAGATGAGGGACCGGTTCTCAGTTTATGGTCTTTAGCTTCTGAAACAAAAGGATTAGTTTGAGTTCTTCCAAGTGTTTGTTGTATAAAAGCAGTGCATGTTTACTGGTACTAATACAAGCTTTAGAACATGTGAGTGGTTTGACTTTACATGTTACCTCTTCAGGTGTGATTTTATACATCCTCCTGGTGGGCTACCCTCCCTTCTGGGATGAAGATCAGCATCGCCTCTATCAACAAATCAAGGCCGGAGCCTATGATGTGAGCATGCACACACACGCACATACACTATAAAGGACAATAACGTCACATGAAGCTTTTAAAATCAAAACTGTCTGCTGCAGTTTCTGTTTTCCTTTTGATCAAATCCAAACCAGCTGAGTTTCTGACACAGGAAGTTCAAGGCACAGGCACTTGAGCTAATACAATATACAAAAGCTCAACAAAATCTCCATTTACAGTAATCCCTTTTAAAGTTTTAAATATTTAAAAACATGTCCGTCCCCCCCAATAATAAATTTAAACCTTAAACTGATGGTTTGCACATTTTGAAGTGAGGTTCTGTGGAAAACGCTGAACAAATAAAAGAGGTCTTTTGTTTAAAACTTATCTTGACAACAAACTATTTAAAAATGTGTTTTTTGTTTGCTTTTTGCTCTTTTGGATTTTGAAAATTACTCCCCTTAGTATTTTGTGTCAGTGTTTCTTTTAACATCATACCTGCAATGAGTGCCTTGAACGTTCTTTTTTCTTGACAGTTTCCATCCCCAGAGTGGGACACCGTCACTCCTGAGGCCAAAGATCTGATTAACAAGATGCTAACAATCAACCCCAGTAAACGCATCACAGCAGCTGAAGCGCTCAAACATCCCTGGATCTGCGTATGTCACACACACCATCATGCATACAGTAATAAAGATCCAGAAATTACGTAAAGTTTTCGGACCCTGGATATCTCTGCTCTTCATCCTGCAGCAACGGTCCACCGTAGCCTCAATGATGCACCGGCAGGAGACTGTGGAGTGTCTGAAGAAGTTTAATGCCAGAAGGAAACTCAAGGTGAGACCTCAGACAATCAGTCATGTTTCTATTTATGCTGGACGATCCACACAGCCTCTTCTCTTTGCTCCCCCGCTGTCTTCCTCTCAGACATTTCAACCTAAAAAATGATAACCCGTTCTCCAAAAACCTCCTCTTTTGCAAAACGTTTCTTTTCCTGCTGCAGCCTTATAATCAATCTTCCCTTCTATCTTCTCCTTTTCTGTTCTTTCCTCCTTTACGTCTCCTCTGTCCCTGCAGGGAGCAATACTGACCACTCTGCTGGTCACAAGAAACTTTTCAGGTAGGTTTTCTTCAGCCCTGTTGTTCAACAACTCATTTCAAAAGCAAATCTTAGAAACATTCAGTCTAAGAAGGCTGGTTTATTTTTAGCCTTTTATAATGAAGCTAGTTTAGGAATATTCCCCAACAGAAAGTGTCTCTCCTAGGATTATGGCACAGAAGAGTTACTGCACAAAATCTATCATTTTGAACCAAATGAAGGTCTGTGTCGTCACACAGAAGCTGGTGGTGAACAGAGTCATCTCCCCTTTTCTCTCTAGCTTTGCTCTACCACTCAAACTCTATTTTTATCATAATTTCTTGCATGTTTTTTTTTTGTCTCTAATTTTCTGGGTCCTAATGGGCCGACTTTCACTCTTCACTCCACAGTGAAATGCATCAACACATTTGTGCCTCTTTTTATTCATCATTTTCTTCCCTCTTTCATTTTTCTTTTTTGTGTTTGGATTGTGGTATCCATCTGAGGTAAGATTTTTGGAATGACAGGGAAATGTGTGGGGCTGAGCTCAATCAGTAACCTGTGATGTTAAGGTTTTCCTACTTTTTCTGAAGGCCTAGTAAATGTGCATGAAGACTAAACGATATTGAACCTTGAACTAAGGTGAAATAAAAATCCGGGCAAGCATATTGCATGGGTTTGACATGCAAACTGCTGTTTTGTTCTTCATACTGGTGGACAGTGGATATAAGTCGACACCTTCCTGTTGAAATGCCAGGTTTTGGTCATGTAAGACACTCAAACGGTATGTCATTTTAATCTATTTCCACCTTTATTGAGACACAAGTCATGTGAAAACAATCTATATAAAACCTGAATATATAGAAAGCGGAAAAAAATGCAATAAAAGCTGTCTGAAACTGTGCACACACTTTATCCAATTAATGTAGATTCTCATTTTCTATTGTTTTTTAAATGTTAAAGGTTTAAAAACAAAGTAGCTGTTCTACAACAGAAAAAACTTTCCTTCTGATGCAGGAAACTTTTTCAATTCAAAAATTAAGAATGTGGAGTTCTGGAGAATTAAATATTTTCTAAACACATATTTCACTTCACAGTCAAGTAACTGCTACCTTCAGTTGTTAAGAAAATGCCGTTTATATCTAAAATAAAATTGGCTTTGCATCATAGCCTATCTAACACCTTGAAATTGGCCTCTGTCTCTTTAAGAACTTCATACCGTTTCCAACACTCCCACTTCAGCACGTCTTCACAACAATGTTCCAGGAGTGGGGTGCTCTGTGGGGCGGGAGCTCGGCTGCAGACTGAGCTCCAGGGAGGAGCTTTGTACAAATAGGCGGAGCTTTGTACCAGCAAGCGTTTAGGCAGCTTTGAATGTCTACCACAGGAGATTCAAGGATTTCTCAAACATGCATGAATGAGTCAAAGCAACACTCAGGGTCTGTTTTTGATGAAGCAATGACGTAAAGCTCAAAAAAGTCCATTTTGCATAATATCGTCTCTAGAAAGTCTGCCATCAGGCCACACCTCGGCCTGGAAATATTTGACCTCTCTTTGTTTTCAAAAAGGGCACCAAATCTGTCGAAATGCATATATATTTTTTTCAAACTTATGTCTAGACTCTGGCTAAGGTCATTTCAAAACTTAAAATTTCTGAGTCATTCTTTTGTTGATTTGGATGTATGCCTGGGAGTTGTTGCTAATTTGAAATAAAATAATAATAAAAAAAGGAAATTTCTCTAAATCATTAGGTTTTTTTTATCAGACATCTGAAGAGTTTGGGCAAAATAAACAAAGATTTACAGTTTTTCTTGTTTGCTTTGACACAATAGGCCATTCAAACCCCACATTATCCAAACAGTGAACACACAGGACTCAAGAGTGACACAATAGTCAAAGTGACACATTTTGTTTGCAAAAGTCTCTAACCGTGCCAAAACATTTAAAACAGAAACAAAATCAAATTTGAAATACTTTGATGCAAATTTAATAGATTCCATGACATTTCTTTAAAATAGAGATTGAATAGAGTAAGAAATTAAAAAAAAAATTAAATCTGTTATTGTAAAAGAAATACCCACTGATGATAATCCCTTCTGTCTTGGACCTCCTCCATCCATGTAGGTAAAGAACAACTACAGATGTGGCACATTTTAAGGTCTGCAGTTTGGTTACTACGTGGAGATTTTTGAGGGGTGTCAAACAGGTGCTTCTGTGATTTCATACTGAGGTGGTAGCTACTAGTCAGGAACAGGTGGTTTATCTTTGTCATCAAAGCTCAAACATAGAGTTTCGATTTCTTGAATTACATCTGTGTTAACTGTTTTGTAAAAGCGTGAAGAAAATATGTCAGTCCAATGAGAAATGGTTAAAACATTTTGCGAGAGGTGACTTCTGCTCTGCTGAATTTGTGATGTCGAAAATGAGTGGAACCCAGTTTCTTAAATTGGGTCAAAGCGACCAAGAAAAACTGCAAAACTGTTCAGAATTCCATTTACAGAGTAAACTAAAAGTAAATTACATTTACACAGTAAACTGGATTAAAACTCCAGTTCCACACGGATGTAATTAAAACAAAATTAGCTTCAACAAAGTATTAATTTGAGGGCGTGCGCACTTCTGCAACCAGCATATAGCATTTTTACTATGACCACTTTTTCCTTACAGCAGCTTTTTTAAATCTCAGTTAAATTGTAAAGGGTATATGACACAGTAAAGGTGGGAAGCAATTTGAAATGATTCATTGCAATTTTTTTTTCTTAACAAAAACCTGACATATTAACAGCTGTGTAGACTTTCCATATCCACTGTAAAATGAGGGCAGAGTGTTGAGACTGTGTGTGTGTATGTGTGTGTGTGGACTGGTGCATGTGTTTGCGTACAATAGTCAGTCTGTTAGTTAGATTGTCCTTCACATCTCCTGGTGTAACTATTTCCCACCCTTCAGTCCCTCAGGTATAATATTAGGTAGGAGAACAGCCTTGCACATTGGAGCATTTGTTGCCTAACTTTAAGGCTCTAGCACTGAAATTTGCACATGTAGTTTGAAGCTATAAGCACAGCTGGTTGGAATGCTTGCTGCATGTTAGTGAAGCCTGAGGCGCAGGCCTCTGTTTTGTGACCTCTCATGATGAACTCTTGTCCCTCTTTTTGCCTCTGCAGCAGCCAAAAGTTTGCTCAACAAGAAGCCTGACGGAGTGAAGGTGAGTTTCTTTGCACAAAGAGGACATTGTTTGTGTTTTGCATATATTCTTGGAATGTTTGTTTTTGGCGCAGCTTTATGGTTATATTTTGTGCACTTAATGACTCATTCAGGGACAGTCATTCTTAACTGTGAGAAGTGGTTGTTTTTGATGTAAAACTAGGCTAATACACCCTAATTCTTATGAACAATAAATTAAGTTCCCATCTTAAATTAGCTGTATTTATACTATATTCTATTTAATATTTATATACTATAATAACTTAGGTTAGTTCGGTTTGAACCTTGTGAGCAAGATTTAGCTCATTTATCTTTAAACTTTCACTTCAGTTTATTAAAATTAAAGGGTTTTTGTTTATAAACAGCTTTTTAAATGCCTCATTACAGTATTTTAATCAGACTGAGATAAATTTAAAGAAGCATCTTGAAGCTTTCATTTTGAGTTTTGTATTTCTTTATTTTAGGGTCCTGTCAGACTATGATGTTTTAGACAACTTATGCCACATCTGCAAATTTTTGTCCAACCCGCTGGCACACACTGAGGAAACAAAGCATCAATTACCACCTTCATTTGGATGTGATCATACTGTGTTGCTAACAACTTGAACAGAATTACATTAAACTTCATATTTAAAACCAGACTGTGAAATTATTTTGATCAATGCATTCCTTGATAGAATATGAAAAATAAAATGTTTTTTTTGGCATAGATTCGGTTGATTTTGGTTGCTTAGTTTACCTGTATTATTATTATAATACATAGTAATCATTGTGAAAAAGTTAAACTGGCTTGCACCTGGGCCTTGTAGCTAATTGACTTATGAGTAACAAATGAATAACTTACCTGTAACATATGTGAACTGATGCATAAATTATTCGTAGCATACCTATTACTTGTGCCTCACTTATCAGTGGCATGTCGGCACAACCTGAAAATTCTGACAACATAATCACAACTTACACCTAACTCGTGAAGCTTACAGCAACATGTTGGACAAAATTTGTAAAAGTTGTCTAAATAAACATTGTAGTGTGACAGGGTCTTCGGTCTGAGCTCCCTCTCAGACTGTTGGGTCCAAGATGCAGCTTCTGGTTCTTTTGCAATACTTCTAATAGCGTTTTCCAGCTTGTCCTTATTGTTTAGTAGTTTTCTAAATGTGAATATTCTTTCTTTTTGTGGAAGACAGCTTCCAGACTCTTTGGAAACGATCCCCTGTGTTTCCTTAGAAAGTTGTCAAGAAAGCAGCTGTTTCCCTTCGTTGATTATATCTTCCCTCTGTGATGATAAAAATTGTTTTGATTTGGACCAACAAACTGCTGAAACGTGTATTTATGGAAGTGCTCATTTCCGCTCATGACCATATAATTCATTTTATGAAAAGGACCAATGTGTTGCAACTATTTTCATTCCTATGAAAAAGTAAGGGTTGGATCAGTTTTCACATACTGCCTTTGGCTTTGTTTTAATGGGCTATTCTTAAGAAAAAGGATGGGATTTGCTAAGAATGAATTCATAAGAAAATGCAACATTTTACAAGTTTCATCTGCTTTCTTCTGAATAGACTCCAAAAGAGAACTTGGGCTACATGTCTGTTTATTTATTTATTTATTTATTTATTTATTTATTTATTTATTTATTTATTTATTTATTTATTTTGGCTACATTAGGGATTATAAATTCATGCATTTTAGAAGAAAACAAATAGTTCTCATTTTTGTCACTGACAATACACAAGAACAGCAGTGTGGCTTTATGGTTATTCAACAATGAGATTTTTCTTTCCAAAAAATCCAATTCCTGTGTCTTTATGGGCAAAAAACAAAAACAATATGTTAAAAATGTTATGTACAAAAGTTATATTTTTGTATTGCTGAATCAAATTGCAACCTTTAAACATCCACTGCAAATGGGCAAATTGAAGAATATGGTCTAGTAAATCACTGTAGTTCCTTACATTTTTAGAGTTTGGGCAATTACTATAGGAAAAAACACATCTGCAGTTTTTCTCAAATACTTCACTTGTAATTTTTTTTGCATATTTGACAGGTAGGGTGATCAGAAAATAACTTTTCAAGTGGCAACCTCTGTATCCATGTAACTCTTGATCGAATCAGTCTTTTGAGACACATGAGTTGGGTTTTTTCACTTGGGAATGGATGGAATGGATGTGTTGGTGTGGGAGCTTGAAAGGCGTGTCATGTCCCCCTCTACACTGCCCCCTGCAGGTCAACAACAAAGCCAACACAGTGACCAGTCCTAAAGAAACTGGCCCTGCCTCTGCACTGGTATACACACTCGGTCTCATCCGCACCCACACCTTCTTTCACAAAAAGATCCAAACCTCACAGCCCACTTTGTGGGAGGTTTAAGTTCACCACCTCTACAGGGTCAGATCAGTCGCTGTTTGATCTACTCGTTGCTTGACCCGGATTGAATTCTTTATAGGGTTTGTAAGAACATCGATCAAATCCAGGGCAGTGACATGAGATGAAACAGCTGTCTCAACCCATCTCAGGCTTTCCCTGAATGAAAATGTAAAATGTAAAAGCGTTTAAGAGTGCACAGCGTGACCCAGCTCCAGAATCTTTGATAGTTAGTCATGAAAGACACTCAGAATTCATATTGATGCATTCATTGAAATCAGCAGACCATGCGTGTGATATATAGAGCTTGGTCAGTCTAGATTTGTGGCCCTAAATTTGCTGTTAAGACAACATTTACCTCAACCCTCCTTCTTGTCCATCATATCCCCTTTTTTACATTCTCATATCAGATGCTTTTTCATTTTGTTTCTCTGAAATGATCTGTTTTGCATTAGAAAATAGAATTTCTGACTTGAATCCACATCTGCATCAATTTGCTATGTAAGCTTTTGTTACTGACAAACAGTAGCTTGCCTGTGCATGGCTGCAAGACGTATGAGAGCATTTACTCTGCGGTTCTATCTCTCTCTCTCTCTCTCTCTCTCTCTCTCTCTCTCTCTCTCNCTCTCTCTCTCTCTCTCTCTCTCTCTCTCTCTCTCTCTCTCTCTCTCTCTCTCTTTTTCATAACATCTGCTCATATGTCGCCTGTGTCAGGCCACATGATCAGTGCCTTGCATGATGTTGGAGGTTTTCTGTTCCTTCATTTGCTGACAGCTTGGTTACGCATGAACATGAGGCACATGACATCTGTCTGTTTCTCTCTCTATCCTCCTTTAGGTCCTCATCATCATGCCTGTACACACACACACACACACACACACACACACACACACATACACACAAAGTTAAGACTGCTGATGTTATAATCTAGTGTAATCTGGATGTGATTGGAGAGACTGGAGAGTCATCAAGATCGATTGTGCAAAGTCCAGATGACTGCTTTCTGAGGCAGAAAGCTGCAAGACACAAATCAGTCAGAGATGGGTAGATTGGTGGGTGGACAGATGGAGATACTGTATAATAAATTGTAGATGGGTAAATAGATGATAGACGGTAGATAGATGGATAGATAGATGGGTGGGTAGATGATAAATAAATAGATAAAAGTGAACACAAACACATTTCCATTAAGAATTTCTCTACCATCATTACCTCTTTCAAAGCCTTTCAGTCACCTGATCCCAGATGCTCTTTGTTATTTCTTCTCTTTAGGAACCACAGACCACTGTAATCCACAACCCTGTAGATGGAAACAAGGTATATCAACAATTTTTTAATGAGTATTTTTTGTTTTATTTCAAATCAGTTTTCTCCCATACTGAACTCTTTTCCTCTCTCTCATTTATTACAGGAATCCATTGAAAGTGCCAACACCACTATTGAGGATGAAGATGTCAAAGGTAGAAGAAACTCCTCCCACACACTAGTTATATGTATGTTTCTTTTTCTTGAATAAGTTTCCACATGATTTACTGAAAATAAAAATCAAACTCTCCTTTGTTAACTTAAAAAATGCACTGTTTTTGCTTTGTTTTATTATCTCCATTTTTCTGTTCTACCTCATCTGTTCTTGGTCTTTTTTATTTTGTAACAGGCTAATCTGTATTATTTTTATTTTGCTTTTACTCCACAGTCCAAAGCTGAACGATTAACAGTTTTACTTGTTTGCATACATGTTTTTATGTTTAAAATGCTGTTCATAAAAATGTCCCACCTCTTCATTTTCTTTCCCTTTTTTGTTTCTAAACATTATTTCTCCTCTGTTACCTTTCCTAATATGAAGCCCACCATGCACCATAACATTAGAGATTGTGAAAATTTGTTCCATCAGTTTATGAAAGCCATGAAAAACAAATTTACAATCTGTTCCCTCAATAAAATTCTTATTTGTGCACATTTGCGCATCATTTTGTTTCACTGCAAAATCACAAACATATTTTCCCCTTAATAGCAATGTAGAAAATACACCATAGCCTGGTTTTAATCAAAACAAGTCAAGAGCAGGAAGATGATAACAAATCTTCAATATTATACAAACATCCATGTTTCTAATGAAACTGTTGGAATGGTATTAATTAGTGACAGAAATATGTCTGATGTGATTGAGGTGACACCACAACAATACTAATGATGTGCCTGAGTTTTGTAACTGAACGCTGTGATTTGGAGATGGTCCCTAAACTCTTGTTGTTTACCTCTGCTTCTCCATTCACATTGAAAACAACACTTTACTTTACTCAAATGTTTTCGCAAATTTAGGTGTGCGCTTAACTAAACTGAGGGACTTTTACAACCTTTGGTGTTATTTTGACCCCTGGTGGGCCCTTTTGTTTCCTGAACATATGTGCTGTCCACTGCCCACCAGCTGTACCCACATCACACGTCAGCCCTTCATCTGGCAGCTAAGGTGGTGACTTGAGTTCTAATTGTGCATTCCAGTAGTCCTGGGAAGTGGTAATTCCCCAGTTCCCATTGGCAGATTTAAAGGGGAATGCCCCCTCCAGTGGTAATTTTCCAATGGTATCGTGGAAGAAATGAAACTGCCCCCAGTTTCGATTTCAAGATGGCGGCTACTCGCAGCTTTAGAAAGTGTTAATTATCTTTCTTATTTTTTTGTGCATGTTTAATCACTCGCACAAGTAGTGTTTTTTTTTTTGCATACTGTACATATTAAAATCAATGTTGATTTGCATGATGTATGTGGTAGAGCTCTTTTTGTGTCATTGTTTATATTGTAGCAGTGGTGTAGCTAGGTTAGTGGCAACAATACAATTGCCTGTCAGCTAACTGGAATGCAGTTTCATATGGTTTGTTGGGAAATGACGTCACTACCATTTACCAGTTCCAGGAATACCATGTAAATGGAATGCAGCAGCTGTGTGACACAGTTATTTTACTTAAGACAGACTCCCGCCTCCTCAGTTCAGAGCATAGACTGTAGATCGCTATAGACCTCCAATCGGAACCAGGAAGTTTAAGACAGAACACAACCAGCTCCCCTGTAGACTGGTTCTAGTAAAACATTGCCCTTGGTAAAAAGAAAAAAAAAGAAAATAAGAATACACACAGTTTTTCAGGATCTTCAAACTAGAATTTATCCAATATTTTTAGTTGTAATTAGTTATTTAATGCTTTTAAAAAGAGGCATGTGACATTATGAAGGAGGTGGCCCACATTGCTGGTTCCAGAAAAAAAAAAAACAAAACATGCCAGCTCCTGTAAATCGGGTCCTGCTGGCTTCAACTCTCAACAATAAGAGAAAGTGGGAACACGAGGTCTATAATATAAAAGTCTACGACTCAGAATAAACTCATCTGCAAAAGGGAAGACCACCTTTGACCTTTTGCAGGGATGAGACCTCTCCTTGTGAACCCCTTGTACTCCAGTTGTTTCCTTGTTCCAGTCATTAAAATTCTGCTTGTGATGCCAAACTTTGGGTCCTTCTATCTAGTTTGTATTTTAATAAAATGCATATTGATGCTTTGCAAATACAAACCATGTCTCTTTCCTTGATTACTGTTTTGTACTGTACAAAACACATATGAAAACACTCATCTATTCACTACTGCAGGTCACGACTGTAAGGAAAATGAAGGATTAAACTACACACAGTTCTTATTATTTTACTTAACATGTCTCTTTTGTTGCACGATTTAAGTAATTCTTTCAATATTCCCCAGCCTGCACCAATAACAATAAAGGTAACTGCCAATATTACTTAGTTAAAACTGCTTTTATAGTAACTAGTTTGCATCTGAGCATTAGTTTGTTTGTCTATTTTGAGCTTTGTCGGGTGAAAGAAATCCTGCCATCCTGCATTTTCCTGCCTGAAATCACTATTAGTTATGGAAGGCTTTCTTTTGTTTTCTGTTCGAACATGAAAAATGAAAAAAAAAAAATCTAAATACATATTTTGTGAGTGCCTTCCATTTCTAATACTTTTAAAATCCTGCCAATGTGTGGACTAGAACCCATTTCAACCTGATTTGATGTCAGATAGCTTTGACCCACACTGACAGTGTCTTTATTAATGATGATCTGTGGTCTTGTGTCGTAGCTCGCAAACAGGAAATTATTAAGGTCACCGAGCAGCTGATCGAGTCTATAAACAATGGAGATTTTGAAGCCTACGCGTAAGTTCATATTAGTCTACATGCAGGAATATTTACCAGTATGTTGCTGCTGCCTTGAGTTTCTGAAACAAAGTTTGGTTTTGGTTCAACAGGAAGATTTGTGATCCTGGTCTGACTTCCTTTGAGCCTGAGGCCCTGGGGAACCTAGTGGAAGGACACGATTTTCATCGCTTTTATTTTGAGAATGGTGAGTTCAAGAACATTTTAAAGATTTAAAATGTAAATATTTAAAGGGGATTTGTAACAAATTAAAAATATATATTTTGAAATTTGAGCCTAGGAGATCTGCATCCAATTTAAACACTGCAGAAAAAAATGGAAGTCAGCCTCGTATATTGTTGTATTGTATTTGAACTCATTCAAACATCTAGAAAAAAAGAGAGAGAAAGTATGGAAGTGGGATAAATAGAGAGGTAAAGCAGGGTGTCATCAGCATGAGAGTGAAATTGAATTAAGTGTTCCTTGAAAATAGAACCGAGATGAGGTAGTTAAATTATTTTAAAAAAAGGGCCTCGAGGACTGATCCCTGGGGAATGCCACAGGTTGCATTTGAGTTGAACAAAAATAGTGCAGAGTGGTTTGACACAAACCAAGTGAGTGATTCAGTGAGCCAGTGGAAGCCAGAAAGTTGAGAACAAATGTGTAGAAATTGAAGCATTCCCCTCCCCCATTTCAAAATTATTTGGACTTGTAAAACAATAGGGATAGATGAGAAACTTTGCCAAAGCCAATCTGTGTTTTTTTTATCAGCAGAACTTATGACCAAAAGAAATTCTGGTAGTTTTTGCATACTGTAACAGATCACTTATAAACAATGATCTTATATCAACTCATCTCAAACTCTTCTCAACTCTTAACTAATTTTTCCATCACACAAAAAATATGCACTGAGGACGTCATTGAAAGAGTATAAACAGGACATTTTTTTCTGTGTTTGTGGCTTGAATTGTGTGCCCAATCCCAATATTTAGCCCTATCAGTTTACTGTTTGTGTTTGCTGCACTGCAAGGGCATGGGCTTACCTTGGAGCAAAAAAACCACCAATGAATAATGACTGCCAGAAATGGCAGCGTGTTCTCAGTCTGAGTAAAAATAGTTCAGATAAACCAGATATGTCCCAGAAACCTCAATCACTTGGCAAGCCTGCGCTTGTCCACAATCCAACATCAGCATATGGAGAGTGCCGCTCCTCATACAGTATCAGAGTTTTACTAAGAAGAATCAGCGCGCTTCTTTTAAACAGCTATAAAGCTGCTCTCATGATCATATGAGATAATCAGTAGAAGCCAATGCAAAGTAGGAAGCATAAAAAAGTGACATTCACATATATCTTGCTGTTTTTTATTTTAAATCTCTCATTTGCAGCTCTGTCTAAAGGGAATAAGCCGGTTCACACCATCCTCCTGAACCCACATGTGCATCTTATTGGGGAAAATGCAGCCTGTATTGCTTACATTCGGCTGACCCAATACATGGATGGCAGTGGTATGCCGCGCACCATGCAGTCTGAGGAGACCCGTGTGTGGCACCGCCGGGATGGCAAGTGGCAAAACATTCACTTCCATCGCTCAGGCGCGCCCACCATCCCGTCCCAGTAAGAGGCCGTACAAAACACAACAAAACAACAGTTTTAGGGATTTGTTAATGCTGTGTACTACACTGTAAAGCATGAGCTTACAAGCCTGATTTAACAAGCATGCTGTAATGCAGTAAACATGTTATTGACCTCATGTTGGTGCTCTTTTTGTCCCTATTTGCAGTTAATGGATTATCATTGTGTGGAAAGAAAACAAATCCTATCAGCAGATCTAGTGGAGCAGTCAACTAGCCAACCCTCTGATTGCTCTTTCTACCTTTGACCCTTCTGTAAAAGGACACGACGTCGCACAGGACACAAGCATTACTACATTTTGCTGTTACGGTATTTTACAAAAGAACAATATTCGAGACCACCACAGAGTGGCAGCACACCGTATTTGGACATTAAGAACTTTTGTTTGTTTCGTTTCGTTTGTTTTTTAAAAATGTTTTGGTATGCATTTTAAATATGAAATACGATATGTTTAAAAATCTGCTACTGTAACTTCTCCTCCCCCTCAAAAAAAAAAAAAAAGAAAAAAATTTGTTCTGTATTTTTATGTGTGTTTATGTGTGCAACTTGAAAACATTCGGGAGATCAGAATATCAAAAATGGAGCTTGCTTTAGTTCTGGTGATGCATATACATTGTGATTGTTGATAAAAAGAAAACAAACACTGAAGTCGCTATTCTTCCTGAGGAGTTTATGTAAAATCAAATTTACGAGCTACATTTATGTTTGCTATGAGCCAAGTCAAACCGTTTAAATGGTCAGATTTTAACCTATTGTACTAATTTAAATGTAAGGAAAAGCAGAGCAGCTTACACTTTGCATCGAGATGTGTTTGCCTTTATATCAGTGAAATAAGAAATAAGAGAATGTAGCATATATGTAACATATGAAAACTCAAGACTATTGTGTAGTGCATGGCGGGTGGGGGGAAATACCATGAGTAAGAGCTTATGAAACTATAAAAATCTGCTGTTTGATTTGTCAAATCAATGACGCGTTTGTTATTGTTGTGCATCGGTCCTGTCAGATGTTTCTGATGTCCTCCAGTATCATGAAAAGTGTTGTAAAAAGATTAAAATCTCTTCCGGTTGACATCCAGCGCAAAAATATCTGAACCTCTTGTCAAACAGGAGGGCAGAATCGACCTTTACATTTTGTAACAAAAATGAGAAGAACACAAACTCATTTCCCACACTGTTTGTACTTGTATTGTGTACCTGTATGTGTAGGGTTTCTGTTGTCATTCTGAACTTGTCACAGCAGTCTGTTGGTTTACCAGATGCCGAGAGAAAATGTAGCTAGGGGAAGAGGAAACAACAACTCTGAAGTTTGTCGAGTGAACGGCTGATGTCGTCGGAACAAAAGTGTTTCAGCTCGGAGGGTAAAAGAGAATCAAGGTTGGACGGCGATGAAAGCTGGGATGTCTTCCTTGTCGATCAGTGCTTCTGCCGGCCAGTGGTCCCACCATGGCAGGACAATGACAGTGTCTACGTCATCCCTACTGTTTGCTGTTTCCAGTTGGTTTGTCTCTTCTTTTGTGAGGAGAAAACGTTTATTTTGACAAAAAGTATGATGTCATTGCAACGCAGCACCCCTTGTATGGTGTGTACCTGTTGCCAGCATGGCAATAGATGGCTTAATATGGTTAAGAAATAAATATACCAGATAAAAAGTGTGACAAAAATGGGTTTGAATATGGCTTGTGTGCCTGGCCATTTACTTCATTAGAATTTTTAGGTTAAAGGTTATGAATATTTATGTATTTCAACTAACATACGGTATAGATTAGATTTTTTTAAATTGGAAGAAAAGATTTAGAATAAATAATATCTTATGTCTTGTAGATAGCTCTTTGATCAACCTCAGTTTAAAGAATTACTTTAATTCTGTCTGAATGGATGAGCAACTACTCCAATCTCAAAGTTTTCACAGCATTTTGCTGTTTTATACATCTGTACACTGCAGTCAAGTTTGTAATACATATTGTTTCAGCAAAAGAATCATCATATTCAAGACATCAAAACTGCTACATTATTTACACGTGCAAAAACCTTAAAATTTTATGTATTTAATTGTGTTTAAAAATAGTAACAATGAAAAAGTTTATAAAACAGTGTTTGCATGAACCAATAAGAATCTTTTAATGCTTTTTCTCCAAACTGAACTCTCTCATAAAGCTATCTATAACAGGTAAGATATTATTTGTTCATAGAACTCTAGAAAAAAAAACTGCAGCTGAAATTAACCTGATTCCCTGCAGGGGACAGCAGAATGTCACCCAGTTTTCCATCAGCTTCAGGGATTAATAAAAGTAAAAACAGATATTAATTGAATGAATGTGTGTTGCCGGTTTTGTTTTAAAAGAAGTTAAATTTATATAAAATATATAGCCAAAGCAGACACTGTACATTAGTAGACTTTTATTTTCTATCAGCCATAGATACACTGCAGCCATCTTGTTTTTGTCTTTTGAAATTTGATACAGTAATACATGCCCTTGTAGATATTTAGATATGCGCTGTAAATGTATATAACTGTCATCACAGAAAAGGGATGCTGATCTTGGAAAATTAAAAGCATACCTGTCACAGTGAACTTTCACTACTTTGCATTTTTCTAAATCGCAAAGAAAACAGTGCTAAGTGATATAAATAAACATTGTAAGTACATACAGCAACAGTGCATCAAGCTGTGAACAACCGCATATTTGAGCTCTTAACTTGCCCTTTTCTGCGTTTTTATTAACTTCCATGTTTCACCTCTGCTTCCTCGCTGTGGCTGTTGAATGTTTACCTCATGTCCTGTGCTCAGAAAGCATGGAGGTGTTCTCACCTGACATTCTGGAGTGCAAAAGCGATTTGTGTAAAATAAACAGCTCTAATCTTTTCTCACAAAAAAAAAAAAATAAAATAAAAAACAGTACGCACATATTTCCTCCACACACCCAGACAAGCCTTCCACTCTGACACGCATCAAACACACCTGGTTCAACACTTTCCAAACAAAGAGGTGAACAAATAAAGTTTTCACATTAAACTAAAAACAGGTAGTGCCTGCTCGCTTTCTCACTAGGAAATATATCCGTAGAACAGCTGTGATATGATTTTGTTACCCGGTGACAAATCCTTCAAGATAAAAAAAAATAATAATAAAGCACACGAGAATATCTTTTAAACAAAATCCAAAATTTGACATCTTCAAAAACATAGTACAATCTCTTAAAGATACAATACTCTGTAACCTGGAGTTAGTGCGATAACCTGGTTAGTAACATTCACACGTTCATCTTTCATACAACATGAGTCAGTGAAACGATGGAGAAAGCCAAAGAACAAAGTAGTTATATGTAATTAAGAAAAACACACTGAGGGAACGCAAAGTCTAACCGACTAAACAACAAAGCAAAGCTGGGATCTGACAGATGTTGATTAGCCATGCCTCTTCTACTTCACGAGTAATTATTAGTTCCTATAGACTACCGATGTCAGCATCTTTTTCTGATTATAGATTGTATATAATTATCAAAGACAAGAGTACACAGTCTACACGAAACACAACAGCAGCTGTTAAATTTAGTGGCAACATAGTCTGGTTTTCTGTTTGACCACCTGAATCAAAGAAAAGAAACAGCAGAAAGGCAAGAACAGTGAGTGAATGAAATAGTTTTGAGTGCAACGTGAAATACTGTCTTTTTTTTTCTGAGCACCTAATTTAGATGACAGTAGAAGTATTTTGTTTGTATATTTTTGAACCTTTGAGAGCTTTGTTAGTGACATGTTAACATTGTCCTTGTTTTCTTTGTGTTTGTTTTTTTCTTGGTGATTTATCACATATTCAAGACAAAAATGAAAAAGATTTTGACATTCAAAAAACAAAATGGAAAACAACAGAAGGCTTTCTTTGGTCATAAAAAGGCAAAACAACATCAAAACATAAAAACAATCATGGATACATAATATCAGTCACAAAAAAAAAAACCTCTTCTTTTGAACAAAATGCCATCTTCCAGTTGTAAAATGGGAAGACTGTGGTATCTCTGAGGTGCTGTGGTGCACACTGGGATTGCATGTGGCCAATGCATAGGATTAGCAGGGACTCTAGCGTGGACAGAGCTGGGGAGTAGGGGGGCAGAGTGGTACTCATTCTTCTACTCTTCTATCTACGTTTTGTCCTCGTCAGTGTCTTTCTGTTCTTGTTCAAAGCAGCGGTGAAAGAGGTGGTGGAGCTGCTGCTGGAGCTCACAGGCTGTCGATGTTTTACTGGAGGTGTCCGCTTGCTCTTCAACGACTTGATTGTGCCGCCTGTCTCCCTTCACCCTGAAGGTATACGCTTTACGCATGTGGGCCCTAAAAACAGAAATCAGAGAGAGAAAGCAGAGGAAAATCATTATTTTTAAAAAGCCAGGAGATTAAAGGTCCAGTGTGCAGCATGAAGCCACATTTTTAGGGGTGTAACGGTGCATTTTGTGCCTAACCATCATGGTACAGGAAACAGGGTCTGGTACATGCAATCAGACTAAGAATATGTTAGTCAATCAGCATGTTTATCTAGAATAGAAAATCAAATCTAAACCACATTACATCAGAACAAAGCAAGAATTAGTTCAGATGCCATGAAGGAGCTGAAGGACCTGCCTGTTTGTTTTAAACCTCTTTCTCTGTTAGCTATTGGAAGCAAGAGGTATGGAAAGAAAAAAAGTCATAATTTGTGCAGTTTGAGGTGCATTCTAATGTTAATTAAACGAATATAAAGTTAGTCAAATGAAAGCTTCATACTCATATTTAAAGCAGTCTTACAAGCTAAAACACACACACACACACACACACACACACACACACACACA